CCACTGCACTCCAGTCTGAGCAACGGAGTGAGACTCCAACTCAAAAAAAAAAAAAAAAAAAATGCCAGGAGAGGATTTGCTCCTACCACATGTTCACTTGTCTCCACCTCAGAAAGACAGAACCCCTAAAGAAAGGGCTCTGACCGGGCATGGTGGCTCAAGCCTGTAATCCCAGCACTTTGGGAGGCGGAAGCAAGAGGATTGCCTAAGCTCAGGGGTTTGAGACCAGCCTGGGCAACTTGGTAAGACCTCCTCTCTACAATAAATCAAAAAACAAGCCGGGTGTGGTAGTGCACACCTGTAGTTCCAGCTAGTTGGAAAACTGAGGTGGAAGGATCGCCTGAGTCCAGCAGGTAGAGGCTGCGGTGGCTGTGAGCATGCCACTGCACTACAGCCTGGGCAGCGGAGTGAGACTCCAACTCAAAAGAAAAAGAAAATACCACATGCCTGTGGTTCCAGCTACTTGGAAGGCTGAGGTAGAAGGATCGCCTGAGCCCAGCAGGTCAAGGCTGCAGTGGCCATGAGTGTGCCACTTCACTCTAGCCTGGGTGACAGGGTGAGACTCTGACTCAAAAAAAAAAAAAGAAAAGAAAAGAAAGGGCTCTGTGTGGGGAACAGAGAGACCAAGCAGCTTATCCAAGGTCACTATAGCAGTTTGGAGTCAGACCATCTTCTGAAGGAAGGTAGACATGTCAGTAGTGATAGGACTCAGGCAACATCCACTGACTCCAAGTGGGGAGAGAAAGCTGGAGACGAAATGAGAAACTGCACCACCCTGACCCCCAGGATGCTGTTGGGCTGGAGGAATCTGGGCAGGAGCTAGTCAGCCAAGGTGACTGGGATGCTGGGGCTGAAGAACCCATTGCCTTCCAGGGTGAGATTAGGATCTGCCTCTGTGGGCGGCAGGCTCAGCTGCAGTTCTACCAGAAAGTGGGGTGTGGGTTTCACGGTCTTTGAGTGTCCCAGGGAACTGGCTGGCTCACTTGGCTCTCCCCCAACCCCATGGGTAGAACCTAGTTCCTGTCATCCACAGAAAGGGCTTCTGGGGGCTTTTCCCAACTCCCTTCCTAGAGACAAGACAGATGGTTTTCTCCCAAGATAAGCAAGCACACCCAAGAGGGTGTTTCATCTGGCTAAGATCACACAGCAAATGGGATCAGTTACTGGATAAAGCTGTGTGACTTCACACAGCACCCACTTCCCTTTGCTGCATGCCCCAGGACCCTCCAGCCTCTTCCTGGGGTTGGGGGGGCTCTAGGTCCCAGGGTGGGGGTGGGGGGACCGAAGCTTATGTGTGAGAAGGGCCCCCTGCAACACCTGCACCCTGGTGGACACAGACCTCATCTCCTACGCGGGCAGAGGGCAGGACTGGAGTCCCCGGTAATTCAGAACACAGCTCCACCTGTCCCCATCATCGACCCAACTGTCCTGCCTGGGGATGCAGTGAGGATGACATTCAAACAAGTTTGTATTTGCTGAGCCGCCATCAGATCGAGAGGGGGCAAGGTGGCCAGAGTGGTCTGACCAGGAATGGAAAACATTGATCGGCCAGAGGTCCAGAAGGGAGAGGAGGAGGGGGTGGAGCTATCTCCGGGATTCGAGAAGCATCCAAACCTGAATCCAGGGCTGCCCCATTCCCCGGCAGGTCTGGGGGCTGAACTCTCCCTAACCCCTACAGCGTTTGGAGGGTCTTCTACGGCTTCAGGGGCCAGGCTAGAGAAGGGGAAATGAGGGACATGCCCTGCTCCCCCACTCCTCTCAGCCTTCCCTCCCTGCCAGCTCTAGCCGGCCCCCAGCCCCACCCTGCGTCTCGTCTTCCTGGCTTAATTATTTTTCCTGGGAGCCATGTAATCCCTATTTTATGGGGCTGAGGAGTGAAGAGGTCTAACAGCTTTTTTTTTTTTTTTTTTTTCCAGTTGTTGTTCTTAGCCAGTTGCATCACTCCCGAGTTTACATTTGATCTCAGAGAGAAAGCATCTGTAAGGATGGGACGGGCCCCAGACAGTGAGGCAGGCCCTATGGGGTGACCTGGGCAGGGCCCTTAGCTAAGGGACGGATTTGGAGCCTGGGCCCTGTAGCTGCCTCCTTGTGTGATCTAGGGCTAGGCCCTTTCTTCTTCTCTGGACCTCAGTTTCCTAATCTGTAAAATGGGTTGGACCAGTTGGTACCTAGATTCCTTCCAACTCTGACAGTTCCTCGCTGACCCACCTAAGGAATTAGTTGAAAGGTCTCCTGCTCCCTCCATCTCTCACTCCCCATTTGAGGGTCATTTTCTGGGCAAGAACAGAGTAGACCCTGGGGAGCAGCACTCATGCCCAAGGCAGCTGCTGTGGGCGTCCCGTCACCCCATGAGTCAGGGATGTGGGACTGGGGAAGTGTCCAGCCACTGGACATAATTGTTAGTGCTGACCATCCCTCTTCCAAACAGGAAGTGGCTGAGGTGGGGGCTGCCCTGGCATCCCAAAGTCACAGATTTATGGGGCCATGAAAGGTACCAGTGCCCATTAACCCTGCCCATGGGGAGACATAGACTTGACTCCTGAGGGAAACTGCTGTGGGAGTTGAAGGTGAATCCCCAGCTGACTGGTCTGATGGCTCAGAAATCCCTGGTGACCCCAGGAGCCTTGGGGGCATCTCAACCAACCCCCTGCCCTAGGCCAGCTGCCCCTAAGAAAGGCTGCCACAACTCCTGCCAGCAACTTGGAGTGACGCTGGCATCAGGGCCCGGTTCTGCTGGGCGTGATTCAACTTGGCTGCTCCCTGGGGCAAGGGAGCTGGGAGGAGGGAGTGGCCAGCCCTCATTAGGCAGAAACTTGGGGCTGAAAGGGAGAGGGGCCAGAGGATGAGGGTGAGAGAGCCCCACTGGCCAGAGCGAGTGCCTTACCCACCATCAGCCCCCACTAGGCTCTGGGCTGTCGGAGCCTGGAACAGAGCCTGAGGACGGTGGGCGGGCGGCCCACTGGCACCCTTGCCACCGCCTCTCACCCAACTGAGTCAGCCTAATGGTTTTTACAACCCTCCCTGGGCACAATTACCGCACTGGTGGCATGACCGGACCTCCTAATGGGTGTTTATTCTGTTGGCACGAGCACCCCCCCGCCTGAGGGCTGGCCTCCCCACCAGGGTACGCCCCCGGGCACACTCATGCGAACACTCACACCCACACACATACAATTGTGGGTACCCACACATATACCCAGAGACACTTTCTCACACACAGCCGTCCTCACGCTCAGAGGGATTCATGGATCCATACCCAGGAGACGCCACTCACACCAGGGAGACACACTTAGGGACACAGGCACATGCTCATACGACATGCCGCCCCCCCATACACCAAGACCCAGATAGACACCACATGCACACACACCCGAACCCTCATCAGCCTCCCCCATCTTTCTTTTCTCCCAAGTTTGCCCCAGAGGAGATGAGGCAGTCCTAGGAGAGATGCATTCTGTAGCTCACCCTGAATTATCTGTGGAGAGCTGGCCCAGAAGACCTCGGAGTAGGGAGTTCCACTTCCAGAGGGGTCCAAGCACAGGCCTGAAGACCAGCAGAGAGTGGTCCAACTTCAGATGGTGGGCATGTGCGGGCCAGCAAGCCCCCGGAGTGTCCATCAGCCCTCCCTCCTGAATCACCTCAATGATCCTCTAAGGGTCGGGCAGGGATGGGGGAAGGACCGAGGCAGATTTTAGATGGAAATAAATTGTGGGCAAGGTTCCTGCTCACTCTTATCCCACCACCAAAGGATATCATGGGCTGGCTATGGAGGAGGTTGACAAGCCCCAGAGTGGGTGGCAGGCAGCTCTGTGCCCAGAGGGGCCAGAGGAGTGTTCTGAAACTCAAACCTGAGCCGGCTCTGGCTGCCTGACCCCAGCCTGAATCCTCGCCTTGCTCTGCACTGACAGACGGCGCCTGATGGCTGGAAGAATTCTGTCCGCCACAACCTATCCCTCAACAAGTGCTTTGAGAAGGTGGAGAACAAATCTGGAAGTTCCTCTCGCAAGGGCTGCCTGTGGGCCCTCAATCCGGCCAAGATCGACAAGATGCAGGAAGAGCTGCAGAAGTGGAAGAGGAAAGATCCCATCGCTGTGCGCAAAAGCATGGCCAAGCCAGGTGAGACTGGCCGTGCCACGAGAGGGAGGGTCCAGGGTACCCATGAGCCAGAAAGACAGAGAGAACTGGAGTGAGGAAAGGGCTTGGGTGAGTTCTGGGTTGGGGTGGCTGGGGAGGAGGGAGATCTCATGATGTTCTTTCTCCCTTGGGCCTTTCAGAAGAGCTGGACAGCCTCATCGGAGACAAGAGGGAGAAGCTGGGCTCCCCGCTGCTGGGCTGTCCGCCCCCTGGGCTGGCAAGCTCGGGTCCCATCCGGCCCCTGGCACCCCCAACTGGGCTCTCCCAGTCGCTGCACTCACTCCACCCAGCTTCGGGCCCCATTCATGGCAAGAACCCCCTGCAGGACCTACTTGGGGGGCACACGCCCCCCAGCTATGGGCAGACATACCCGCACCTCTCACCTGGCCTGGCCCCTCCTGGACCCCCGCAACCGTTGTTCCCGCAACCCGATGGGCACCTTGAGCTGCGGGCCCAGCCGGGTACCCCCCAGGACTCGCCTTTGCCTGCCCACACCCCACCCAGCCATAGCGCCAAGCTGCTGGCCGAGCCCTCCCCAGCCAGGACTGTGCATGACACCCTACTGCCAGACGGAGACCTTGGCACTGATCTGGACGCCATCAACCCCTCTCTCACCGACTTTGACTTCCAGGGTGAGCTGAGGGTAGCAAAGGGGAGAGGGGGCAGGACTGGAGAGGTGACAGTGTGACCCATCCTCTCTAAGTCTCCAGGCTGCAGCCTGAGAGTTGCTGGGTTTCTGGTTAACTGAAGGAGAGGTCCCGATCCAGCAGGAGACATCTAGTTTCCCACTTACTCCCTACCATTCAGAGCATGGGGCAAAGAGGAATGAATGTTCTTGCCCCTGTCCCCCGCCTCCTGGTGACCCCAAACATATTCCAACTGACCGCATCTCAAACCACTCTCAGTTCTGGGTAGGCTGGAAAAGGCTTGATGTTCTATTCCATACCTGATTGTTAGTGACTGACAGTCTGAATATCCCAGAAGCATTTGCATCTTATCAGAGCTCATCTTTTTTTTTTTTTTTTTTTTTTTTTTTTGAGTTGGGGTCTCACTCTGTTGCCCAGGCTGGAGTGCAATGGCACACTCATGGCCATCCCAGCGTCGACCTGCTGGGCTCTGGCCATCCTTCCACTTCAGCCTTCCAAGTAGCCGGAACTACAGGCGCGCACTACCATGCCCAGCTAATTTTTGATTTCTTGTAGAGATGAGGTCTCGTCAAGTTGCCCCGGTTGGTCTCAAACCCACAGGCTCAGGTAATCCATTCGCCTCAGCTTCCCAAAGTGCTGAGATTGCAAGCTAAGCCAAGGACCCTGGCCAGAGCTCGTCTTTTAAAGCAGGAGAGAGATCCTCCCTCTAGATGAGTAGAAGACTCAGAGCTGAACAAGTCCTGCAGAGATTTGGGGATAGAAGTACATAAAGAGGTTCTATCCATTCCACTCCATCTTGCCTGCTCCCTCTCTGCATGTGGCCACGCCCACATTCCATCTAAATTCCAGTGCACTCCCAGGCTCTGGGACTGACCACAGGAGGTTTGGATGGCAGTGATGACCCAGATCTAGCCCCTCTGCATGCACAGGAGTGGGGGACATCCACAAGCAGGTGGAGCAGCTACCTTCAGAGAGCTCCCAAACTGATGGGGAAGTAGCCCAGGTCTCAGGAAGCTATTAGAAAAGTGTGGCCGGGCGCCATGGCTCACATCTGTAATCTCAGCACTTTGGAAGGGTGAGGTGAGAGGATTGCTTGAGCTCAGGAGGTCAAGACCAGGCTGGGCAACATAGTGAGACCCCGTTTCTACAAAAAATCAAAAAAATTAGTTGGATGTGGTGGCACATGCCTGTAGTTCCAGCTACTCAGGAGGCTGAGGTGGAAAGATTGCCTGAGCCCAGGAGGTTGAGGCTACGATAAGCTGTGATCGTGCCACTGCACTCCAGCACTCCAGCCTGGGCAACAGAGAAAGAAAGAAAGAGAGAGCCGGGCTCAGTGGCTCAGCCTGTAATCCCGTGAGGTGAGTGGATTGCCTGAGCCCGCGGGTTCGAGACCCGCTTGGGCAGCAAGACCTCATCTCTACAATAAATCAAAAAATCAGCCGGGCGTGGTAGCGCATGCCTGTAATTCCGGCTACTCGGAAGGCTGAGGCGGAAGGATTGACGGAGCCCAGCAGGTTGAGGCTGTGGTGGCCAGGAGCGGCCACTGCACTCCAGTCTGGGCGACAGAGTGAGACTCCAACTCAAAAAAAAAAAAGTGCATATAGATCTTCAGCCCAGTCCCGAAGGGAGAAGCAGGGCTCAAAAAACCTCAGAGGAAGCTACAGACACGTGAGATATGATAAAACATTTCCTTGAGACCCTACTGAATATCAGGCATCATGCTAGCTGCTTGACACGTGCTCTCTCATCAGGGTCTAGAGGACAGGAGGGACTAGTAAACCCACTTCACAGGAGCACAGAGGTTTAGTAATTGACTCACAGTCACTGGCTAGAAAGAGATGGGACTGGAGCCCCGGCAGCCAAATCCAGTCCAGGGTTTAGTCCAGCCCTCTTCCTCCAAACTCTGCAGCCCAGATTCCCAGGGCAGGAGCCCCAGGCCCTGGCCTGCCTTGATGCAGGTCACATGGCAGGAGGGGGGTTCAGGTGGCAGCACTGTTCCCCTCCCAGAATCAGGTGTGCTTCCTGGCTCTGCTCCCATCCCTGGATGGAGGAGGCTCAGGTGTGCTTCCTGGTTCTGCTCCCATCCGCAGTGGAGGAGGCCCAGGGAGCCATGCCCATCCTCACTGGGTCCGGCAGAGCACTGTGGGAAGATCCTTGGTCTGGGCTGTAGATGTACCTCCCTTGGGAGCCTGGGCAGGAACCAGGATGAAGAGGTCCTGGGGGTCGCCCCAGGCTAACCCTGGAGTGCACAGCATTTGCATCAACACTTCCAGTAGGCTGTTCTCAAATACTGGCCTTTCCCCAATGCCCCCCTCCCCACCAAAGGGCCACAGAGGTCATCTGGATCTATGGTGTCCAGACTGTGCTACAGGGAAAGAGGAATCTGAGGCTCAGAGAGGTTCCACAGCTTCCTGGGGTCACACAGCTAGTGCCAGGGTCTGTCCCAGTCAGTGTCACCCCAACCCTGCTCGCTACACGTGTGAGAACCTCAGGGAGTGGGGCCGACAGGGCTCCTCTGGTGACCTCCCAGTGACAACTGTTCTTCCTTTCCCAACTCCCCCAACTAGGAAACCTGTGGGAACAGCTGAAGGATGACAGCTTGGCCCTCGATCCCCTGGTACTGGTGACCTCATCACCGACACCATCGTCGATGACGCTGCCTCCACCTCCACCCCACTGCTTTCCCCCTGGGCCTTGTCTGGCAGAGACAGGCAGTACAGCAGGCGACCTGACAGCACCAGGCAGCGGGGGCTCCGGGGCGCTGGGTGACCTGCACCTCACCACCCTGTACTCAGCCTTCATGGAGCTGGAGCCCACACCCCCCTCGGCCCCTGCTGGCCCCTCCGTGTACCTCAGCCCCAGCTCCAAGCCCATGGCCCTGGCATGAGCTATGCCTGCCATCAGCTCCAGCCTTTGCCTAGTCTGGAAGTCCCGGCCGGCCGCCCACATCGGGCTCACCTTAAAGGTCAAGGAAGGAAAACACTACCTGTCCCCTGTGCCACTCAGCCAACGTATTTGTTATCTGGCAGCAGGGGCCACAGAGGACACCACGCGGGATACTGCCCCTCCACATTTCTGCCACGTAGTGGTCCAGCTGGTCACTCGGGGGCCCTGCAGAGCAAGCATCTGGGCAAGAAGAAAACATGCTTTCCCCAGCTCACACTCATCCACACTTCAGCATCTCGCACATACTGTTACTCAGACAGACACCCACACACATACCTTATACCTGGAGGAATCAATGCTACAGCACAGAGAGCCCGACTTCATTTCCGGGGCAGCTGAGAGATGAGGGCTTTGCTTACCACAAGCTCAGGGCCCCTGTGCCGGGCCAAAGATTTCCCCCCACCCCAGACCCCCATTCTGACATCCATGTGCTCTGCAGATCTGGCCCCCTCCAGTCATGTTCTTTCCCAGAAGCCCCCTGTATTTATTCTCCCACCTTCATCCCAGCAGCCCAGCAAGAAGAAGTTAGAGAGCTCCTCTTCAAGTTGTCTGTGGACACCACGCCCCAGGGGCCGCTACTTAGCAGCACCTGCTCTGCCAGGCTCTGCCCATCCTCATACACACTCTGTCCAGCCTCCGCCAGGGTGACACACAGGAGGGGCGACACCTGCCGAGGACCAAACTGAGCCCAGTTCCGACACAGTGTTTGGAAAAGCCCTTGCCCTTGGAAACTTGAAAATGTCCTCTTCTCCCAGTCCCGGGTGAAGGAAGGGCCCCCTCCAGGTCACCACAGTCTCACTCCTCTAGAAAGAAAAATTCATATAGTTTAGGTCCCAGCTTCCAACATTAACAATGTTGACTTAACGGTTCGATGTATGCTTTTTTGACTTTACGATGGTATGAGAGCGATACACATTCAGTACGTTCCTTAACTCAGGAGAGGGTTATATCCGATAAAGCTACCATAAATTGAAAATATCGTAAGTCCAGAATGCACTTTGACTTACGGTATTTCAGCTTAGGATAGATTTAGCCACAGGTAGCACCATCATAAGTCGAGGAGCATCTGTAGTTACTTTCAACTGTCTCAGGCAGCCCGGGTGTTCAGGGAGGAGAAGCCCGGCACAGGGTGTCAGGGAAGCACCCATACCCCCACCTCTTTGACTGCTTGGCAGGCCCAGGATATCCAGGAAGCACAGGGGATCCCCCTGGAGCTATAGGGTGTGGCCCAGGAGTCTGCCATGAGCCCAACCCCCACTAGGGGGAGTCTCAGTCTACTCTGGGTCGGTGGTAACAAGCACCTCCAGAGGTTGGCCCCAGGCTCATATGAGGCACAAGCAGATCCCTCCATGGCCTGCCCTTGTCCCCTTGTCCTCGAACAATAAAGCAAGTGCCTTGTGGTCTCACTGCTGAGCCTTCATTTCTGGACCTCCTGTCTCTGGGCAGAAAAGCCAGGCCACTCTGATGGTAGATGCCCTGGGCCTATGTTGTCACAGCCAACCCCACCCCGAACTATGAAGTTTCCCAATCCAAAGAGTAAAGCATCTAGGAGGACTTCCTGGCCAGGCTGGGGAGGCTGAGAAGTAGGTGGGCAGGGCCTTTTCCCAGGGAACCTCCACAAAGATTCAAAGAAGAGGCTGCCCGGCCTAGAAGAAGGGAGAGGATGCCTGCCCCCCACACCCCTTCCTACCGAGAGCTGCCCCCTCCGTCCTTGCACCCTTCAATCTCCTCACACAAGAAAAGGTCACTACCCTGCCTAGTCTGTGCCTTTCTTCCCCGCCATCTGTCCCCGACTGGGAGAGATGCCCAGTAGTTTGGGCCCTGGGTTCCATAGGTGATAAGAATGGAGCACAGCCTGGTGTGGTGTGCACTGCTAGCCCAGGAGGGTGCTCTTTGGAAGGTCAGGGTCTCATTTGCTACCCCTTCAGACTCACCCCCCAGGTACCATCTCCAGGTGGGCGGGTGTCACCAAAGGGGCAGCCTGAGAGGCAGCCCTTCAGCTCTGTCTCAAGAGGAGGGGGCAGATGTGGGAACCAAAAGCACCTACTTGAATCCCAGGTCATAGAGTCGCCACAGGTGGGGCCTCTGCTTAGAAGATCCTTCTGGGGGCCAGGCCTGGGGGCCAGCTAACACCTACCTCTGAGAGGATAGCTCTGCAAAAGACCCCACAATAGAACCCCACCGTACCTCAGCATGCTCCCCGCCAGAGAGGGTCTAAGGCTGGGTACAGGGCTGGAGGGTCTAAGGCTGGGTACAGGGCTGGAGGGCTAGGGCATGGGGGAAGGTATGGCTGGCTGGTGCACCCAGGAGGAAGGTCCACTGCCCCAGCCTGGCCCTGGCTGTCTAGGGAGGAGGCAAAGGCTCTCTGTCAAACCTGCAAGTGATGTTGCACCCCAGTTCTGTCCAGCCCTGGTCCTTGATGTTCAGGTCCCCAAGGACAGGACAAATATTTCCTGGGAGAACTTTACTGGAACCCACTTGCTTACTTCAGACCTTGGGACCATGGGAGCTCAGACAAATCTACCCTGTGCCCCCAGCCTAGGCAATGAGCAAAAGACATCTCCTTCAGGAAGCTGTCGGTCAAACCTCTGTCCCATGGGCCCACTCAGCACAGTTGTGCGTCAACCGGTCCCCCAGTGCAATGAAAACAGGTAGGAAGCAGACAGGACTTGGGTCTAGTTGTGTGCTGGCCTGTTGGTTTGCTTGTTTGTAACCAGACTTGGCCCTCAGACCTTTTAAACTGGGCCTCGTCTCCACCCTGAGATGAGCCTCACCTTTTTGCTCATTTGCTGCCCTCTGCTGGCCACCCCACAACAGGCATTTAGCCATCAGTAGAAGAGCAGCAATCTGTGGATGGATGCAGGGTCTCCAAGTCCCCTATTTTTTTCTTTCTTTCTTCTTCTTTTTTTTTGAGTTGAAGTCTCACTCTGTTGCCCCGGCTGGAGTGCAGTGACACACTCACAGTCACTACAGCCTTGACTTGCTGGGTTCAGGCGATCCTTCTGCCAAGTAGTTGGAACTGCAGGCACACACCACCACGCCCGGCTAATTTTTTTGATTTATTGTAGAGATGAGGTCTTGCCAAGTTGCCCTGGCTGGTCTTGAACCCACGGGCTCAGGCAATCTTCTCACCTCAGCCTCCTAGATAGCTGAGATTATAGGCGTGAGACACTGTGCCTGGCCTCTTTTGTTTTTTGAGTCAGAGTCTTACTCTGTCGCCCAGGCTGGGGTCCAGTGGCATGCTCACTGCCACCGCAGCCTCAACCTGATGGGCTCTGTTGATCCTTCTGCCTCAGCCTTCCAAGTAGCTGGAACCACAGGTGCGTGCAACCACACCCAGCTAATTGTTTGATTTATTGTAGTGCTGGGATTATAGGTATGAGTCACTGCACACAGTTCCAAGACCCCTATTTAGGAAGAATTAACCATTTTATTCAGGGATTCAGAATGTGAGGATTCCAAAATGGGTTAGAATTCCCAGGTCCAGGAACTTAAATGAAAGAACAATTACATCTTCATTTTCACTTATTTTTTCCTGAAATTCAACATTTCCCTCCATTAGGAATGTCAACAGCAAATCACAATAGGTTTTTTGGGTTTTTTTTTTAGTTGGAGTCTCACTCTGTCACCCAGACTGGAGTACAGTGGCACGCTCCCGGCCACCGCAGCCTCAACCTGCTGGGCTCTGGCGATCCTTCCACCTCAGCCTTCCAGGTAGCTGGAATTACAGGTGCGCTACCACGCTCAGCTAATTTTTTATTTATTGTAGAGATGAGGTCTTGCCAAGTTGCCCAGGTGGGTCTCGAACCCGCGGGCTCAGGCAATTCACTCACCTCAGCCTCCCAAAGTGCTGGGATTACAGGCTGAGCCTCCAAGCCCAGCTAAATCACAATAGTTTTAGCAATACCTGTGACTTTGTCATTAAAAATCACAGGCTGGGCCAGGCGCAGTGGCTCAGGCCTGTAATCCCATCACTTTGAGGTGGAGGTAAGAGGATTGCCTGAGCTCAGGGGTTGGAGACCAGTCTGAGTAACATGGCGAGACCTCATCTCTACAATAAATAAAAAAATTAGCCGGGCATGGTGACACATGCCTGTGGTTCCAGCTGCTTGGAAAACTGAGGCAGAAGGATCACCTGAGCCCAGCAGGTCGAGGCTGTGGTGACTGTGAGAGTGCCAAAGCACTCCAGCCTGGGCGACAGAGTGTGACTCTTACTAACAACAACAAAAAAAAAATCACGGGCTGTTGTAATGGTTCACATTTGTAATCTCAACACTTTAGGAGGTCGAAGCCAGAGGATCTCTTGAACCCAGGAGTTTGAGACAAGCCTGGGCAACACGAGACCTCATCTCTGAAAAAATAAAAATGTAGCTAGGCATGGAGGCATGGCCTGTAGTCCCAGCTATTCAGAAAGCTGAGGCGGGAGGATCACTTGAATCCAGGAGTTTAAGGATGCAGTGAGCTATGACTGCACCTCTACACTCCAGCCTGGACAACAGAGCAAGACCCTGTCTCAAAAGGAAAGAAAAAAGAAAGAAATCACAGCTATTTTCACATTATATTATAGGTATTACAGAATATATAAATATACAAATCAGGTATGGTGGCTCATGCCTGTAGTCCTAGCACTTTGGGAGGCCAAGGTGAGAGGATTGCTTGAACTCAGGAGTTCGAGACCAACCTGGGCAACATAGCAAGAGCTCATCTTTTATAAATATACAAACATACCCATGTGTCACTTAACAAGGGCATATGTTCTGAGGAATTGTTCTTAGGCAATTTCATTATTGTGTAAACATCATGTAATACACTTACACAAACCTAGATGGTATAGCCTACTCCACACCTAGGCTGTAGGGTATAGACTATTGCTTCTAGGCTACAAGCCTGTACAGTATGCTACTGTACTGAATACTGAAGGCATTTGTAACACAAAGTTAAGTATTTGTGTATAAAAACATATAAAAGGTACAGTAAAGATAAAGTATTATAACTTTGTAGAAATACCATCATATATGCAGTTCATTGTTGGCAGAAACATTGTTACATAGTGCATGACTGTATGTATACACACACATCTATACAGCCATTCCTTAGTATCTGTGGGAGATTGGTTCTGGTACCTTCCACAAATTCCAAAATCCACAGATGCTCAACTTCCTGATACGAAATGGTTTAGTGATTACATATAACCTATGCACATCCTCCCACATACTTTAAATCATCTCTAGATTACTTTTAATAATAGTTAGTACAATGTAAAGGCTGTGTAAATGATCGCTGCACTGTATTTTATTTATTTATTTGTGTGTGTTTGTTTATTTACTTTTGAGTTGGAGTCTCACTCTTTTTTTTTTTTTTTTTTTAGTTGGAGTCTCACTCTGTTGCCCAGACTGGAGTGCAGTGGCCACTCCCGGCCACTGCAGCCTTGCCTGCTGGGCTCCAGCGATCCTTCCGCGTCAGCCT